TGAACCACTCTCCTCTCCTTTGAGTTTCGTGGTGTAGCTGACTGAGCTAAAGCACATACTGATGTATACCACATTCCATGATTGAACAATTCAATCATGGAATGTGGTATACATCCAATAAGGTCCAAACAGTCACTCATTAGAAGTGGCCCTTCCTGTGTTATGTGGCACCTGGTCTCCTTATTCCTGAAGCTTAATGTTAATATTTCATAAACCTATTTTAGTCGAGGCGTCTGTTACAGACTCTGTCAATCCTGACATAACAGGTAGAAAACGTTTGTTTCATACTTTGTTGAAATATTCTTGCAGCTCTTTTTTTACTCAATTTCGAAAACTTAAACTAGAAATCAAAGATTTGCCTTATAACCCCAACGTTTTAAACCACACAGGCACAGTGCAGCAGCAGTAACCCTCTTGTCAGTGTAGTTAACTTCCAATTTAATTTCCGTTGCAAAGATAGCACATTTCTCATTTTCAGCCGCCCTCACACCCATAAATGAGCTCATTGCACTAACAGTGTCACTAACAACGTTGGCTTCATTATTTTTCAGACACAGTGAAGCAATTTCTAAATCGACCCTGGCATTTGAAACACATCTACGTAAATTCAACTGTTCACTAATCACCTCGGTGTACAGAGAAAAAGTATATCTTTGTCCCTTTGCCCTTGTCAACGTTGGCAATACTTTTAATATTGTTTTCACAAATGATCCCCCTCTTTTTAATGTAATTATGCATCGAATAATTTAAAACATGGAAATCATGTTTTTTTCTCCCAAGCAAAACATATAATCCAACAATGTGTTTTTCAAGACAGTAATTGTAATTACCAGCTAATAAATCATTTATTTAGATATAGGCTTTACATGGACAGGACAAGGTTACAATTTCTTTCAACAGTTACTTGAATTGAAACAGATTTTGACGTTTTCCATCCAGTCTCCCTTGTGTTTCTTTTACTGATGATCATAGCCATTTCAAGTTTCCTGGTTGCCCTTTGGCATCCTGTGCTGTGAAACACGAAATAAAATATTTTTCTGCTCAAAAGCTCCAGTAGCCCCCATGAGATGGAAACCTGTTTGATGACACAGTAAACGACTTTTATTTTCTTGAGGAAAAAGACCCATTTGTCATCGTAGTAAAGGGGGCAAAGGCAGGTCTTGTGTGGCAGGTGATGAATGGGTAGAGGGGATGGAATCCATCTGCTGCATCACCACCACGGAAATGGGATCGTCCACCGATACAAAATTGCACACTTAGAGACGAGCCTAATTCACACACGAGACCTAAAGTCACTGTAGACGACAAAACTGTGTCTGTGTGTGTGTGTGTTTGTCTGTGTGTGTGTCTGTGTGTGTGTGGAGCGAAAGAGAGAATTTCTTTAAATCTGTGTCTCAAATTACTTTCTTTCCCGTTTTTTCGCACAGGCGCACACGCACACAATAAAATGCATTTATGGCTGCGGGCCATGCAGACTAAATACCAACTATCTATCATCTGAGATATTTCATACTTTCTAAATTCAATAAGCCGATATGATTTATGTAGTGGCTCGGCAGCTTTGGTATAGAATAATGTTGAGGTTTAGGGATATAGACAATAATATACATTAAGGTATTTGTTTCTGAATTCAGTGCACCTGACAATAATAGAAAAAGGGAATATTCTTCACACAGTTTGATACCACTCTGTTATCGCTGAATCTCCCCTTTGGGAAATACATTCACATATGGAATTGTATAAGTCTGTCAGGATGCAGCTTCGTGCTTACTCTGACTTTGTTTGAATGCTTGAGCTTCACTTTGCAGAACAATGTACTAATGTGCAGAGTTTGACAGTTTGCAACTTATACAATAAACCTTCAAGTACATACATCCAGATAATGGAGTTCTCGGTGAATATGAAGGCATTATATAATGAATGTATAAGCATATCAACAAAATCCTTGACAATATCCTTTGGTGAAAGTATTCGAAAGACCTTTTGTTTAAATGTCAACCTTTTTTCTGTAGTTACTGCTGACTTTTTTTGTATTCAACCAGACCCTGATCCCCCCCTAACCTTAACCAAGTGCTGCCATTGCTTAAAAATTCACCTGAAAAGTGTTCAATGCTGTATAATCCAGTCTGCGGGCAGGAAAAGACATTAAGAATTTGAGCACAGAGCACAGAGAAAACTCAATGCTGTGCAGTCCGAATGCTGTTTGGTCTAAAACAAAATCAAACTTTCCAAAAAGGATATTTTTAATGTATCCATAGTGTACGATTGAACAGCAAAGAGTGTGCTGCTGACAGGAATTGTTGGAAGGCAATGTGTCCTTTCCCTTCATGAAAGATGGTCCAGTTTATTCTATGTTAAAAGAGATACAACAGGAAGCATCGTGAAATGTGTAGCTACTGTATACTTTGTTTCAGACTGCATAATAGGAAAGACAAACACAAATGCTTGAATTTAACAAATATATAGATATAGATTACAGTCTATAATGATTACACTTAGTTCTATGACTTCTATTAAAACAATACTGCACGCATGAATCTTGCCACACTTAACGTTGCTCACAACTGATACTTGAATCTGGTACTTGTATTAAACCAATTGATTACGAGAATGGACACAAGACTACTGTACAGCAGATATAAGCTTTAAAAAACGGCAGCTAGCCGAGGACACCAAGTCCCTTTAGCCTCCTCATTTAAACAACACTGTGTGAATTGTACGTTTTCAAAGGCTCTATCAGATTTGTGTGCCAAAAAATAGTTTTCCATTCCCATCTGGTTTTATGAGAACAATACACTTGCATCAGTAGTTTATTCTCCCAAACTATTTCATAGAACCTTTCTGCTTTCGTTTGTCTAAGCCCAGACCAACATGGAGGAATGCAAATTATTTATTATGCACATTTATTCCCGTCCTCTTCTTTATGTGAGCTCAGATTTTTTTCTGATTGCAGCACTTTTTTTTTGTGGCTGCTGGACCGGGGAATAAACTGTGGGAACATAATATGATTTACACTGAAAAGCACTCCTCTGTTTTGCTCTCACAACTACAAAGCTGTCAGAAGGAGGAAACGGGATCATCTGTTACTTTCTGCTCTCTCGCTGGGACAGCAAACAGAAGTAACAGAGAAACCTCTGCCTGTTCTATGTGTGTGGTAATGCAGATCATTCTAAGATGGCTGTTGCGATGTCTGTGAGTTAAAAACTGTAGAATATGGGTTTGTGAAATCATCTCCATACTGGGGTGTCGTCTTAAGTATTTTTGAATGCATGTTCATAAGCCCAAAAGGCTTGCAAAAGTGTTTGCTTTGCCTCAACCTTAAATACATTACATATCATTTAGCTGTCTCTTTTATCCAAAGTGACTTACAATGAGTGCAAAAACCATAAAGATTCAAACTCCGAACAACAAGGAAAGTGCAGATATATTAACTTCAAGCAAGATCATACCATAGTAAGTGCTGGTGAATAAGTTACAAGGCCTAAAATCGATAATTGTATTACCAAGGTACAATCATAATAGAATAAATTCAGTTTGTGACGGAAGATATGCAGCGTTTCTGCTGTCCTGATGTCAATGGGGAGCTCCTTCCACCATTTAGGAGCCAGGGAAGCAAACAGGCGTGTTTTTGAGGGGTACCTGGGTATTGTAATGGGAAAGTTGACTAATTGTTACGAACTCGGATACACAAGGGAAAAGGGACTCAAATGCACGACCCGGGAGCCAGAGATAAAGTATAAGTAATATACTTTATTGCAAAAAATAGGATATACAAAAATGAATAAGGCACTCTTAACGAGGCGACAAAAAATAGGCTTCACTAAAGTGTAACAAAAAATGAGACGTAGCAAGTGAGTGACAAAACAAAACAGGAAGTGAAAGACAATACAAGAATGACCAACAACAACATGAAACATGACTGACTTGGCACTTTTGACGGTGCACAACACTAATCTGAAGCCTTACATTGTATATTTATTCTTGAATATTTAAAACAGGGTCATTAGCCACTTAGTTTAGAGAGCTTGATGTCTAGAGCAGTTTTTAGTTTTAGTTAAAAAGTCATACTGCAAATAAAGTATCAAAGATGTAATGAAGACATTGTGATGATATATTTTCCAGAAATAATTACTCTAATGTTTTTAACAGTTTGATTTTGATTTCCTTATGAAGAGGACAGAAGGAGACTTTTCCTCTTAACTTTGTTTGAAGAACCAACAGCGGAGCCTTGTTTTTTTGTTTATTTAATCAACCTTCTTCTCTGGAGGAGACCCAAGTGAAAATGACACCGCTTTCAGGGAATTTGCAATTCCTATGAGCTGAAAACAACCCGGGCCAGCAAAACATGTCATTTTAGCTCTCAGTGGGTGAGCGAGGCACCCTCAAGAGCAAACCGTGCTCGGTTTTGTGTCTGCGAGGGCGTGTGTGTGTGTGTGTTTCAATGAGCCTGCCTCAGGAGGTGTGCTGTGACAAAAAAATAAACCCTCAGCAGCACAGCAGACGGGGGAAAGCAAATGAGTAGTTTTTCTGTGTTGATAGAAGAGCCCCGATATGTTCCTTTCCTTTATCAGCAGGACAAAGAGTGTGTACTTAAGCTTTTGTTTGTGTGTTGCTCCATGTGTGTGTGCTTTCAATTTTCCTGCAGTTGTTCTTGCTATGGTTATAAAAGAGGCATTAGAGGCTTGTTTGCTCTTTGAATATAAATGCAGTTTACTTTACATTGGTAATTATAAACACCATCTTGACGATTATATATACTGCCAAGCTATAGGAGATAGGAGACATAAAAGGGCTTACATGTTTATCCACAGGTGGATTGTAAACATCTCAGTGTGTGCAAGTAATCAACACTTCTGCCATGTCTGAGGCTCCACGGCACATACGTCTTTACCACAAAGCAACTTCCAACTCTTCCCAGGAAACCTTTTTTTTTTTTGGACAGGCAGTTCAATGTGTAATTGTGTTTAATGCTATTTTAATCTCTCCCCTCTCCGGGACAGGTGCAGAGTCATAGGGAGACTGGCAACTAGAGAACACAGTACTCACAGAAAAAGGTACACACACAAACATAGACACACTCCTATGTGTAGAGACACATCCATATTTTCCCCTCTAGCTATAGTGTAATGTTCAATTTAATGGCCTAATGTTCCCTAATGACTGCTTTATGTGCATGGGCTTATTGTGCATCTATCAACCTGAAGCACATCTAATCAGACAATTAGCCCTCATCTTGGGCTAATTTCCATGTATGTATTCATCACCATAACTGCCGCTCTAATAGGAACACAAATGGATTGTCACTTCTCTATCACACACACACACACACACACACACACACACACACACACACACACACACACACACACACACACACACACACACACACACACACACACACACACACACACACACACACACAACCCCCCACCTTTTCTCTGTCTATCTGTCTTTGTCTCTGTATGGACAAAGAGATTAAAGCTTAGCAGCATCAAACCCCCGACAAATAAAACTGACAATTGACCAACTGATGCTGCACAGTTACATTCTGTAATGCAGTCTTGATTCGCTACGAAATGTGTTCTAGTCTACTGAGAGATGGCTTAGTAAGTGTACATGTACGCAATAAATGAAGCCAGGCACAGAGCCTATAGTTTGTGCTGGTACAAAAATAGCAATAGTCTGAATATCATTATATGATCTTTTACTTTTGCACCAAATTAAGATACGATTTTCACTTGTTCATACTATTTTCTAAGTTGTTAAGATGCACATACAGAGTATCTTAAGTTACTGAAATCACAGAACCTATTAATGTGCGATGTGTCTTGTCGAGTACACTACAGCTTTAGAAATGATACGTGCGTTTCATCTGCACTCTCTGGAATACGCTCCTGTCTAATTAGGCATGGGTTAACACAGCTAGGGTATCTTCATCACTTAATTACCTTTTCAGCTCTGGGATTTGACAAAGTAGATACACAACCTCCTGTGTTTATTTACAAACACTTCCACACAGATTTCTTTTTTAAACAGTGATAATCAGGATTGTCCTCAGGATAAATCCCAAAGCTCCGAAACGCAATTTTCTCAGTAGAATGAAAAATAAATATTTTAGTTGTGTAAACATCATTATTATTTGTGCCATGTGTGAGTGCCAAAAATCATGCTTGAAATAACAACATGAACGATAACAGATGGCAAAGTTTTTTTGGTTGTTTATATTTATTATTATCTCTTTTATTTGCATAAGAAAAAAGCAATAATACAATCTATTAAACAACCCTTAAAATAGCCCACTTTACAAGGAAAGAAGGAGGATTGTTTTGCCTGATAAACAACTATCTTTACCTTTTTCCACTAATTAAATGCACACTTCAAGCATCCCTGCCACGTTGTAGCTCAGAGCTGAACAGACGCTCTCTCCCCTTGCATGGAGCGTAGAGTTTATACCATTATCCAAGTGTGGTCACAGCACTTGGAAGAAACGTACACACTGTGGGTGTTTCTCAATCTCGAGTACGCTTGCTTGGTAGCACATGTCTTCCGAGTCACTTGCTTCAGAAGCGAGGCAAGAATACTTCCTAGCTTCGGAAAATGAAGAATGGAACAGGCTAGCAAGTGTGCAGGTGTGCGTCATTCATACGAGAGGCCCCGCCTTACATCTTCCGCCACAGATTTGGGGAAATTGGTCCGTGCGCAAAGCATTGTGGGGATTTTAAGACCGCGGAGTCTACACATGTGCAGCCTCGAAATTTCTCCAAACGAAGTACGCCGGGCTCGGTAGAATTCCAAGTATGCTGGAGATTGGAACAGTACTTCGGCGGCACTCGATGACGTAGTATGCTTGAAATAGTGGCTCTGGAGCAGCTTTACTCGAGATTGAGAAACACCCTGTGTGACACAAATCATTCTCATGGAGACTGAAATACTACCACACGTCCGTCATTTGCTTACGTTTTATATTGGTAAACAAAACACATTGACTCTAACCATGCCTGCAAATGACATAATACTAGAGTCGGTCCAGTTTCACTGAAACAAACACAAGATCTCCAGAACAGTTCAAATCATCCGATGTGAGATCATCACCAGTGACAAGCATTGCAGCTTAGTTTCATTGTGTATAAACCTCTGAGTTTTTCCTTTATTCTCAGAGATTTCTTTTGTCAGTTGTTTGATCTCAAATATATGAGGTTAACAACAAAGAGCATGTCCTGGTGGGTGCATTGGTTTGTCTGCAAATATATTCATAGATTTGTATTCCACTGAAGGGAATTTAGAGTTGAATGAATGGGAAGAGCGGTTTAGGGATAAAACATCTTCATCGTCTCAATGGAAAACTGAAAGCGAGCATCGATTGAAGCAGAGAGGGAAAATAGAATAGGGGATTGGACGAAGATGGAGAAGGACAGGAAGCTAAACAGAGAAAGAGAGATGTTGACTGCCAATTGCTTTGCTCTGTTGTTCTTTTAATGCTAACCTTTCAACTGATTAAACTGCTTTATTGGTCTGGCGGTTATTAAACATAAGAGGGCAAACGGCCCACAGCACCACTCCTAATCTCGAATAATCAAAGCCTCTAAACATGATGTTGTCAAGCGGGCAGAAGAGACCTGTTTCTCTTAATGATCCAGTTTATTTTGACTGAGGTGTCATGATTTGGCCTCTCATTATTGAAAGATGAAAGCGTCTATGTCAAAATACAGCAGCTGTTGAAACAGGAAGGAGCTTCAGAGCAGAGCATGGACAAAGAGAGGCAAAGAACGAAGCAGCATAATCAGAGTGGAGACAGAAGGTGAGAGTGACAGGGGAGGAAGCCTTTGATCTCAGCTTTCTAATCAATGGGGATTATGGTCTGTGTGCCTGTGTCAGACCTGATTATGGCTGCAGCGCTGGCAGACAGTGGTGCATCGAGAAGAGTACGAACAGCTCCTTGAACTGAACAGAGCTGTTCCCTGAAACACTGTCGAGATGCATCTGATCACCTCGAAACTGTTCGACAGGACTCAGAAATTCACCGTGAAGATGGGTTTAGAACATAGAGAAACTGTGACTCAAACTCCTGCGCATGAATCTTCATTACCCTCAAATATAATCTGCAGTGACTGTCTCAACTGTCACACTTAGTCAACCATAGGGCTACATAGTGAGTGTAATATGCAGGCAGTGTTGGAGTTTGTTTCACTGTAGGGAGTAAACATTGTGGATACACGACACAGGAAATCATATGAACAGAAGACTATAAACTGAAACACAAGGACAGACAGACCCTGGAGAACCACTTTGAGTGTGGAGTCTTTCTACTTCCACTGACAGCAGATGGATTTCGAGTATTTTTATTGTATATCAAGGGAGTTGAGATGTCAGGATTTTACTGACGTTTGCTGTGACAGCTTTTTGAATAGGACTTATTATGCATCTCTTTCTCACAGTTTTCTGCATTTACACACAACATTGAAAAGCACAGTTTTTTATTGTTTGGTTTTTGTGTTGTAAGGGTGGGTGGCAATGTGATAAAATAAGAATTTATGGATTTACCTCAATAATATTTGAGTTCAGGGGTTTTTCTAGACCAATATAGTATGAGGGCAATACTGTGGAGCTGATCTTTTATATAAGATATATGAATTCTCGGGAGAACCTGACGCCCGTATACAAGATGGCGCCGAAGACATTAAAACAATGCGACGTCGGAGCTCCGTAAAAACAAAGCTGTCTATGCAGCCTGACGGTCTATTCTACACAATTTTCAGATTTTGCAAGTAATTATACAGTTTTTGACAAACAGAAATATTGTTCTCTGGCATCACTTTAAAATGTTGGTATGAGTGTGCACGGCGAAAGTAAGAGAGGCTGCCCTGTTACTCGGTTTAGACAAAACCCTGAGATTTCACTGGGTACTGAAGGCTTAATGATTGATTCTTTTGAATATACCATTTTATGTTCAATGGGGACATTTAATTTCGGTATGTGTACATATTAGCATGGCTCATTGGTGAAACATATGACCTATAGGTGAAGCCGAGGCCCCCTCCTGGTCAAATGTGTCCAGTCAGATCTGTCCTTTGAGCAAAGTTTTTCAGCAGAATTCAAATGTTTTGCCGTCAGAGGTTTCAAATTCTTGGTAAAAGTGTATAATTAAAACCTCTTGAAAATGTATTTTGCATAAATGTTTCCCCGAGGAGTTGAATCCAACTATCCCAAGTGTACCAGCATTAATGAGGACACTGGTCAAATTAAATAACGATTTTTTTACTTCACAAAAAAAACTATTCCATCCACTTTTTTTACAGATTTCACAGAAAGTCATTTGACGGCAAATGTCTAATTAACACATTTAACTATCCCTTACATCAGTGCTTCTCAAACTTTTTTCAATAATGTACCCCCTTTGAAACATTTTCTCAGCCAAGTACCCCCGGACCGACCCCGGACATTTTTGATAGAAAAAGCCTATATAAATAATTACAATATAGTAATGTTCCATCAGTGTTTGATTTATTAACTCCTTCATGCACGAATTACAACAAACTAAGGATATTTTCATCTTTATGCATGAAAAAAAGAATATAACGAAAACAAATTAAAACTGATTTTTCCAAGGAGTTTTTCAATTGAAGTAATATTTAACAAACCAATGAACAAAACGATATATTATGAAAAACTACAAACTACAATACACACATTTGACATGTATATATAGAATAGAATAGAATCGGAGGGATGAAACCCTCTTTAATGGTCATACATGCAGAGCACACAGCACACAGCACACACAGTGACATTTGTTCTCTGCATTTAACCCATCCTAGTACCAGGAGTCTAGTACTAGGAGCAGTGGGCAGCTATTGTACAGCGCCCGGGGAGCAATGGGAGTGGGGGGGGGAAGGGGGATGTCCGGTGCCTTGCTCAAGGGCACCACGGCAGGGCAGGAGGTGAACTGGGACCTCTCCAAGTAGCAGTCCACACTCCATATTTAGGTCTGTTCGGGGACTTGAACCGGCGACCCTACGGCTCACAGTCCAAGCCCCTACTGACTGAGCCACTGCCC